ACATTTTTACAGTTTGATAAAAACTTCCCATCTTTATTTAATCCGGTTTCACGCACACAAAAACACACAAATATTTACAGCATGTAAAACAAAAAAAAACACATTTCAGAATAAAATAGCGTCTAGAGTTCCGCCCGGAAACAGGTGAAAGGAGGCGGGGCTGAAACAAGACAACAGGTGAAAGGAGGCGGGGCTGAAACAAGACAACAGGTGAAAGGAGGCGGGGCTTGGACGAGACTTTAACAGGTGAAAGGAGGCGGGGCTTAGACGTTAACAGGTGAAAAGAGGCGGGGCTGAAAGACAACAGGTGAAAGGAGACGGGGCTTAGACCTGACGTTAACAGGTGAAAGGAGGCGGGGCTGAGACGTTAACAGGTAAAAGGAGGCGGGGCTGAAACAAGACAACAGGTGAAAGGAGGCGGGGCTTAGATGAGACGTCAACAGGTGAAAGGAGGCGGGGCTTAGACGAGACGCTAACAGGTGAAATCTGAACGATATGTACATTAAACCGAGTGTGTTTTCCACAGGAAACACTCGGCAGTTCCCCTGATGTTGTTGTTGTTGTTGTTGTTTAATGCTGTGTGTCAGCAGGTGAGCCATGGACCCTGAAGCGATACAGACACGTGTACTCCGGGTTCCCCCAGTTAGAGAGAACCTGCAGCTCCACCACCTGGAACCAGGACCCGTTCTGCTCCTGAGGAACAGACCACAGTTTACTGTTCGTGAGAGTTTAAAGTTACAGTAGTCTTAGCTATGTTTGTGTACTTTAAAGTAAAGTGTGTCTCACGGTGACGGGGAACGTCTGCAGAGCCTCTCCGTCCTGGTCGTATCTGAAGGAGCCGAGCAGCTTCCCCTCCTCCTCCTCCTCGTCCTGAAGACCCTGAGACCACCAATAGACACATAGAAATGTAGATTGGTATATTTGTGAGCTGTTTCTCAAATACATTTGTAACAAGTATTTCTTTCTTGTGAAATGTTCAGCCCTTCCCCTGATAAAAGTCTCTCTTACGTAGACTCGGAAGTCAACTTGTACTTTTTTTCTAATAAACGTGAGATTAAATGAGTGATTGTCTATCTAGTAAAATGCACCCCCCCTGCCCCTGAACGTGGTCTCTCTTACGTAGACCCTGAAGTCCCTCGGGGCGCTGCTAGACGTCCCGCTGGGAGACAGAGATCTGGGGACGTGCTCCAGAGAGAAGGACGACGGGGACACACTCATCGAGAGGCGGAGCACCAGAACTCCTGAAGAGCCTCTGAACGCCCAACAGTTACCTGGCTGGACATCAGGCTGGAGGGGGAGGAGGAGGGGGAGGAAGAGGAGGAGGAGGAGGGGGAGGAGGA